CCCCCCTCTCCCACCACCCCAGGTCTTCATCCTGTACTTCAAGCCCAGCATCTTCCGCTGCATCGTCCTGCGCTGGGTGCGGATGCTCGGCTTCGCCATCGTCTACGGCACCATCACCCTCAAGCTGTACAGGTAGCCGGGGTAAGGGGAGGGGGGATGGATGGTTGGGACCCCCCCGGTGGTGGGGACCAGCTTGGGGGCTCACCCCTCTGCCCCTCGCAGGGTGCTGAAGGTGTTCCTGTCCCGCTCGGCCCAGCGGGTGCCCTACGTGTCGAGCGGGCGGGTGTTGAAGATGCTGGGGCTGATCCTGCTCCTGGTGCTGTGGTTCCTGGCGGCCTGGACCGTCGGGATGTTGGAGAACGTGGACAAGAACATCCCGTTGGTTGTCCGCACCCAGACCCCCCGTGGGCTCCACTTCTACATCTGCGGCCACGACCGCTGGGACTACATGATGGTGATCGGTGAGACACAGCCCCCCAGGGTGCTCCGGGGGGGTCCCCACAGCCCCAGGGCTCCAACTCATAAATGCAGCGCGTGGGGGTTTTAATTTCTTTGTCCGTTTAACCCACCTGGAGCCTGGTGGTCGGGCTGGGCACCTCCTGCCCTCTCCTCTGAGCATCCCCAGGACTTGCCCCGGTGCTGGTGGTGAGTCCTAGTGGCCTTCCCGGTGGCTGTCCCGGAGGATGCTCCACACAGGACCCACCTCCGACCACAGCACGTGCCACCAGCAGCTGGGGTGAACACACTGGGCTGGATCCCCAAGGCAGGGAGGTCCCATCAGGCAGCAGCACCCACCCCACAGCTCAGCACCCATGGGTGCCGGCCGGGAGGAGGTGCTGAGAGCAGCAGGGTGATGGGTTGGGGTGCTCAGCGTCGCTCCCCGGCTCTGTCCCGCAGCCGAAATGCTGTTCCTGCTGTGGGGCAGCTCCCTGTGTTTCGCCACCCGTGCCGTGCCCTCCGCCTTCCACGAGCCCCGCTACATGGGCATCGCTCTCCACAACGAGCTCATGATCTCGGCCGCCTTCCACGTCGCCAGGTAGGACACGGGGTTGGGGTCAGGAACCGAGATTCCCATCCCCGGTGACACGGAGGATGCGGGGACAAATCCCTGAAGCTGGTGGCTTCCTGGGTCCCCAGGCAGGGAGGAGGGGTGCTGGTGGTGAGTCCTAGTGGCCTTCCCGGTGGCTGTCCCGGAGGATGCTCCACACAGGACCCACCTCCGACCACAGCACGTGCCACCAGCAGCTGGGGTGAACACACTGGGCTGGATCCCCAAGGCAGGGAGGTCCCATCAGGCAGCAGCACCCACCCCACAGCTCAGCACCCATGGGTGCCGGCCGGGAGGAGGTGCTGAGAGCAGCAGGGTGATGGGTTGGGGTGCTCAGCGTCGCTCCCCGGCTCTGTCCCGCAGCCGAAATGCTGTTCCTGCTGTGGGGCAGCTCCCTGTGTTTCGCCACCCGTGCCGTGCCCTCCGCCTTCCACGAGCCCCGCTACATGGGCATCGCGCTCCACAACGAGCTCATGATCTCGGCCGCCTTCCACGTCGCCAGGTAGGACACGGGGTGGGGGGCAGGAACCGAGATTCCCATCCCCGGTGACACAGAGGATGTGGGACAAATCCCTGAAGCCGGTGGGTCCCCAGGTGGGGAGGAGAGTGTGGGGTCTGGAGGTGGGGAAGGGGCTGCGGGTGCCTCGGTGGGACCTGGAGCTGCATCTCCTGGTCCCTCCCAGGTTCATCATGGTCCCCTCGCTTCACCCAACACACTGGGCTGGATCCCCAAGGCAGGGAGGTCCCATCAGGCAGCAGCACCCACCCCACAGCTCAGCACCCATGGGTGCCGGCCGGGAGGAGGTGCTGAGAGCAGCAGGGTGATGGGTTGGGGTGCTCAGCGTCGCTCCCCGGCTCTGTCCCGCAGCCGAAATGCTGTTCCTGCTGTGGGGCAGCTCCCTGTGTTTCGCCACCCGTGCCGTGCCCTCCGCCTTCCACGAGCCCCGCTACATGGGCATCGCTCTCCACAACGAGCTCATGATCTCGGCCGCCTTCCACGTCGCCAGGTAGGACACGGGGTTGGGGTCAGGAACCGAGATTCCCATCCCCGGTGACACGGAGGATGCGGGGACAAATCCCTGAAGCTGGTGGCTTCCTGGGTCCCCAGGCAGGGAGGAGGGTGTGGGGTCTGGAGGTGGGGAAGGGGCTGCGGGTGCCTCGGTGGGACCTGGAGCTGCATCTCCTGGTCCCTCCCAGGTTCATCATGGTCCCCTCGCTTCACCCCGACTGGACGCTGCTGCTCTTCTTCGCTCACACCCACGGCACCATCACCATGACCCTGGCGCTGCTCTTCATCCCCAAGGTATCGCCGCCCCCGGGGACGGGGCTGGGGGGGTTCCCCGGCATTTCGGGGACCCCTTGGGTGAGCTCTCCCCCTCGTCACCCCCCACCCCCAGTTCCTGCACGCCGGCTCGCCGCTGCGGGAGGAGATCGCGGCCGAGGTCTACGAGGACGAGCTGGACATGAGGCGCTCGGGCTCCTGCCTCAACAGCAGCATCGCCTCGGCCTGGAGCGAGCACAGTCTCGACCCCGATGACATTCGGGTGGGTGGCACACTCAGGACCTTCTTTTGACGCTAGCTATGCAGCCCCGCGCAGAGTAAGAGGTGCCTTTTGAGATCTTTCTCCTGATGCAAAGCAGAATTTGGGGGGGGCTGAGGGAGGGGGTGGAGAAGGAAGGGGGGGGTGCAGGGTGGAAAAACCTCCCCACGTCCCCTGGGTCGGAGGGACAGGCTTGGGGGGGCTGGGGGACACGAGGGACTGGGATTTTATGGGGGTCTTCCCACCCGTGGCCCCATCGTACGTGCTCTCCTCTCCCCCCTGTGTCCCCCCCCCGCCGCAGGAGGAGCTGAAGAAGCTTTACAGGCAGCTGGAGGTGCACAAGACGCGGAGGATGGCAGCCAACAACCCCCACCTCCCCAAGAAACGCAGCTCCCGCCGCAGCCTGGGCCGCTCCCTCACACGCCGTGCCACCGAGACCCCCGAGGGGGGGACACGGCGGGGCAGCGGGGAACGGGGGGGCACCCCGACACATCATGGCTCCTGGCCCAAGCGGCTCCCCGAGGCCGGTGGTGCCAGCCTGAGGATGCGGGAGGAGGGATCCCGGCGCCGCGTCCCGTCCCTGGGGGGGTCCCGCAGCACCCAGGGTCCCACGAGGGAACCCCCGGGGGGCTCCTCCACCCCCGGGACCCCCACGCCGGGGAGGGAGACGACGGCGGTGAGGGCCGGGGAGCGCTCCGACAGCGAGTCCCTCGAGGACGCCCCGCTGGTCTGCAAGTCGGCCAGTGCCCACGACTTGGGGGGGCACGGGCGGCCCCCCCAGCCCCACGCAGCCCCCCCCTTGCAGAAGTCGCTCAGCGTGGTGGCCGGTGCCCGGGAGGAGGCCCTGCTCGCCGCCAGCCGAGCCGCCCGGGAGAAGTGGGCCAGCCGGCAACCATCCTCCCTGGCCTCACAGCCCCCCGACGGCCACGGACCCCCCAGCGAAGCCGGGAAGCCCCAAAGCCCCCCTGCGGACGATGCCACCCCCCCAGCCGGCTCCAGCCCCACCGAGGGGTGTCCCCAGGAGGACGTGTCCCCCCCGGGGGATGGCAAAGTGCAGAAACACGTCACCTACGCGCCCATCAAGAGCATCAGCATCGACAGCTCCCCCCTCCCGGGGCGGGTGCGGGTGGCAGTGAGGAAGACCCCCCCGCCACCCCCCGTGCGGTACCAGAGCCTGGGGCGGCGTGTGACAGTGGCTGGGGACAGCCCGGGGACAGCAGAGACACCCACGGACCCTCTGGCACAGGCAGGAGAGGGGACACGGGAGGGGACACAGGAGGGGACAGAGGAGGAAGAGCCGGAGCGTGTGTCCCCCCCGTCGGGGAAGGGCAGGCTGCTGAGCGCCGCCTCCATCCCGGCACAGGTCTGTCCCTGGGAGCTGGTCCAGGACGAGATCCTGAGCCAGAAGCAAAAAGCCGCCGAAGCAGCAGCCTCGGGGACCCCCGGTGAAGCAGCGACCACCCCCCCCAGCCTCCAGCCGCCCCCCCCCCAGAAGATGACCATCCGGAGCCTGGGACTCGCCATCAAGGCCTTCAACCGCTCCCGGGGGAAGAGCGTCCTGAAGGGGAAGA